TTTCGTGTCCTCTGTCTTTGCTGCACTTCCGTTTGCTACACACAGGACTCGGGCAGGATGCCAAGGGATCGGGTATGAATATTGAGCAATTGGGTCGCCCTCTCGAGTTTCATAAAGCATTTCCATTGAAAATAATTAAAATGCGTCAAGCGTTCAAAATCAGGCAGCGTGGAAATTTAATTGTATTGAATGGAATGGAAGGACGAATCGAAGGGTCCACCTGTTCCCCATGCTTCCATGAATTGGTTCCATTTGGCAATTGGGCCAGCAAATGAGTTCATTTCTTTACTTTCCCCTTTCTCTGCCACCCCTCCGATGGCTTCTGAAGAGTGTACTGCAAGAATGGAGAAAGTTCGTTGAATTAAAAAAGCAATTGATCAGAGAGTAAGGATAACAATTGCATCACAAGAATCTCCATACTCAGCCCGTTGATAGCCTTTATTTATTCAGACAGATGCAATTATTTGCATTCTTATTAAAGGTTTCTTTAATGTTCAATTTAAACCTTCTCTGAGCAAACAAGGCATACATTACAAATAAAAGCTTAATTTTCATATTCATATAAATACTTCTCAGTCCTTTTTCCCCCTTCTGCTCCACTTTGCACTTCGGAAAAGGACACATGCTACTTTTCCCATGGTCAAAGGGAATCGCGGACTTGGCCCAAGGCCACGGGCACAGTGAACAGAGAAGGGCAAACACACGGGCGCGGCGAGGGAGAGGCATAAAAAAGCCGCAGCTGCCAGTTGACAGTAAAAATAATAACGCCCATCGAGTGCTCCGAGAGCAACAATAGCAACAACAGTCAAATATTTTCGCCGGTTCGAGTTCGATTCTTTATCAATCACAAAATAAACACTCAACAATGGACGGGCGCTTTTCTTTTCAATGCAAACAATTTTTTACATTATCATATTTATTTATAGGTATTTCAGCATATTCCTGCCCCACAGGATGCTGCAAGCGCCGCCCTCGTATCACTCTGATATTGTTCCACAGTGAAAATACATAAATTTTTTAATTTTCGCAGAAGCATATTACTCGCCGTGGCACCTCGTCCTGCCATCCTGGTGCTGGTACCATAATTGAAGTAAGAGCAAATGCCATTTGATGATTTTTATATAAATAAAATGTTCCTCATTCTTTTTCGATGTTTTTACGATTTGTTTGACAAGGAATCAGGCAACAAGAAACAGAAACCGAGGAGGCCCCCTGCCCGACAATTTTTCATTTCCACCAAACAGAAGAAATGAAAACCCCTCGAATATATGGCACATATAAATATGAGACCAGAAATCAATTGCCAATTTATTGTTGCAAACATAAAAAATGTGCGAGGGCCGGCCGGGCTTCGGAGGGGCGGACAAAATCTATATTAAATTACCAGCCAGCCAACAAAATGTCAAAATAATAATAATAAAAATAGAAAAAGGGCACAATGTAGAACTCACATGATGGCAACCTATTAAATACACTTAAAATTGCATTACTTTTGCATTAAAAAAAAAGGATATATGGAGGTATTTTTATTCTGTATACTCTTCTAATAATACATTTTTTTAGCCAACGATTTGTGAAAGGGAATCCCATGACAGAGAATCCCACACAGAAATATGTCATCGCCATTTTTATAAAGGGAGACATTGTCGGGAATGGCTTGACTTTTTGCGGCCATTGTTGCCCGAATAGTGTTGCTGGAGCTGTTGCTGTTCTCTGGTGTGCCCAATTGCCTTTAAATTGTACCGAGTGTTAAGTGGCCCACGTTAAAAAAACATTTAGCGTTTTTATTTACGATCCAGCCACCGACTGGGAGCGGACCAAAAAACGGCCACAGAAAAACCAGTGCCGGAGCAGAAAGAGGCAGTGAAAGTGTTTTGTTCTGGCCCTGGCATTAGGTGCTCGCTGAATATATACGTATGGGACAACAGGAATAAAAAGGATATTGGATTCGCAGCGAATCGGAAGGGAGGCTCGGAACGGAAAAAACGGAAATTAAAGCTAAATATGGGAGGGATGTGAAGAACCAGAGCAGAGGGAAGACAGACAATTGCGATTGGAAATGTGAAAGTGGAAAAGTAAACTCCGGAAAAAACCAGAATTTTTACAGGAGTTGAGAGTAACTGGTAATTCAAGGGTGTTTTTAATGTACTCTATGAATGAAACCTAATACAATTAACTTTTATAACAATCCTTAGTTTGAAGATAAAAACTTGACGTATAAAATATCCTTTCACGACAGTGCTAGTTTTTTCCATTCTTTATCGCCAATAATCACGTTTCCGGCTGGATCAGATATTTCACGCCACTTGCTGTGGCCTTGATTACTCCTTATCCAGCGTATTGCTACGCCCCCAGCCCACAAAGGAGGACCATTAGAAAGAGGTCCCCTATGCCCCCCTGCCGAAGGACTTCCAGATTTTCCTCCTGTCGGCGATGTCGGGTCCCGACTTGATTGTGCCTTTAAGCAAAGTCGACGGCCTGCGGTACTATCGCCTGGTGGCCCTTCGGAGCCTGGAAACGGCGGCCGCCAATCTCTACAAGAAGCGATTCATCCGCGAATTCTGTCACCTGTACTCTGGCCAGGAGGCGTGCGCCGTGAGGCGGTTTTGGGAGAACAGGATAAACTCATTTCGGGATATTGAAAACACGGCTGGGCATACATGATGGGCGTGTCAGCTCTAGGTGTCCTGACAGCGCTCACCGGCCGCTCCACAGGTAAGCTTATATGGAAATATACATAGTTCCCCCTTGTTCTGATTAAATCCTCAGGCTGTTCTGGCGGAAAAGGAGGATCCATGCATATGTACGGAAAGAACTTCTGCGGCGGGACGGGCATCTTAGGGAATCATGTTCTTGGGGATGCAGGAAAAGGGTTCCAAAAGGGCACAAGTTCCAAAAGATCGTCGACCAGAACAACGACCAGTACTTTAAAAGAGATGACATACTGCCCAGCATTCGAGTAGATGGCCAAGATGAACTGAAGACCAATAGGTATGGGGGGAACTCCATGTCGGATCCCATCAAAATATGTCAGTTAGTGTGCTTCCAGCATTCTCTGATCTTCCAGAAGGAGCTTTTGGAGGGTAAATAGCATATGAAGGCAGAGATAGAGGCCGCCTCCAAAGCAGCCATAATGGATGAAAATTCCTCTTTATTACACTCTTTGAAGCGACGTATACTCGGGTACATTTCAGGGTCCTTTAAGAGGTGTCATGGGAGCGTCTGAGATAACCCAAAAGCACAAACTAGCAGACACTAAGGAGGCTAGTTAACACTTTGTAAATCACTAAATAAAACTTTTCTGCTTTAAGGATTACTCCTTTTTGCCATCTGAGGCGTCCTGTGGGTCCCTGGCTCCAACTTAACATAACTCTCATTAGCACTTGCGTGTGCTCTATTTAATTTATGCTAAATGATCAACGGCAGCTGCTTATATCTACGTTTTATTTTTATTTTCCAGGCAAAACGAAAACAATAATTCAGCTCGGCGGGCTGCTGCTGAAACAGCAGAAAACAGAGAAAAAGTTGTTACGGCTCAAGAAAAAAAATGTTAAAAAGGGTAAGCAGGAAAAGGAAGTGTACGCACACACACACATCGCTCGCATGTGACCCATTGAGGGCATGTCCCGCCTCCCGACACCCACTCCCCACCAGGACACACGCACTCATTTGCCTTTGCACTCACGTCTATGTAATTTATGCCAAAAAACAGTATGCAAGGATGTACCTTGGGCTTCCAGAATTTCAATATAAAGCTTAAGATGGTACTTTGAATGAAAAATATAGAAATATGTTAGACAAATATAAAAATGATATAGAAAAAAAAAATTATACAAAGAAATTTAATTTAATATTTTAAAACATTTTAGCTACTATCCTTTAATATTTTCTTAAAAAAATATATTTAATTAAAAAGGAATTGGCTTATCCAGATAAATGCCACTGGTATCTAAAGTTTGCATCCCTGAACCGTGGCGCCACAAAAGATACAGAATACCCCACGAATTCTACACGACAGAGGCGCCACTTGAACAGCCTTTCTCTACATCTGTTGTTTTGGTTCTAAGCCCCATATGTGCCACATAGGCCACCTCCCCTCCGGCTTCAGTGTTTTCCCTTAAAGACTTACCACTTCTAAGGGCACATCTATGGCTTTAAAAAGGTCCAAATCCCTAGAAACCGAACCAAACAACCAACACCAATGAGACAAAAAAGAAAATGAGGTAATGGTATGGATGACTATAAGTATTAATATTAAAAGGTAGTAAGTATTTAATAAAAAGTCACTCATTCTTCACACTACTTTCAACTCTCTGCATCCCAGCTCTTCCGGAAACAGGTGGAGGCCGGAAATGAGATATCACACTCGACTAAATACGCCTCCGCACAGGAAACAGTGGATGAAGTGTTGATTTTGGGTGATGGTTATTAATGGAGGTGTGTAATATCAGAGATTCAACTGCACTCTGTCGCTCACATTATATTAAATTGAGAGAAACTTAACTACTTTGGGTTATTACCATAGAATCCCCTTGTCCCTGCTGGAAACCTACAAATTAGTTCATAATTAAGTTTAAGACCTTTAGTTCACTTATTTAAAAATGATATCGAAGTTCTTCTTTAGGTTCTAAGTATGAGCACAAAAATAGCAAAAGGTTAATTCAAGTGATTAATATGAAACCCTATCATCTCATTGAAGAAACGCATATGGATCTAAATTTTAAAACATTCCATGTATCGACATTTTCTTCATTTACATTAACCACGCAGGTAAAAGATGAAAAAGAACAAGTGTCTATTAATATCTTCCAATAGCTAATTATTTTGGGACATGGCGGCTTAGTTTAAACCTTAAACCCTCATGGAGATTGGAGCTAATAATGGTTGTGGATACAGTTGGTTTTGGGATATGAACCAGTGGGGTTATAAATGATACTAAAGAATGTATGGCAGTGCACATTTAGTTAATGGTTTTACCCCCATTAAAGTAGAGGGGTTTATTTCAAATTAAAAAACTGAATGCCGTATATTTCGTCACGTCCATTTGAAAGAAAACTTGCTACATGGTGGATTCCATATCGATCTTGAGACTGCATTCAGGATTCTTCAGTTCAGCTATCTGGATAAGATCTACTTCCTATTCTGGTTGTTGCGGGCCATGTCCTTGGGGAAGGAACGCAGTGGGGGCGTGCGGATGCGGCGGGCCTCGCGGGAACGATTGCGCACCACCTTGGAGTGGATGGCGCACGAGACGCAGTAGTGGAGCTTCGCGTAGAGCTTGGGCAGGACGTAAGCATCCCAGATGCTGGCCTCGGTGATATCACGGACGGCGGCAGCCTCCACGATGTTGCGGATCACGAACTTCTTGATCGCCTTGTCTTTGGGCACGCAACGGGCACAGTTGGTGCAGCGCACGGGCTTCACATGGCCACGGTTGTGCTTGTTGCGTCCTCCATTACGGCGCTTCTTGGTCATCTTGCCGGCTGCTTTTTACGAATCCGCGGGTGGAATCCACTCATTAGTATTATTAACAATCACAATCCCACGGATGGGCGGCATAATTACCTTATTTATCGAATTGAAAATCCACCAAGTAAAATCCGCGTGTTCACCTCGGGCGAAACTTGTGCGAAAAGGGGGTTGCCAGCTCGAAATTTTCGTGTTGCCGGATTAATCGTCACTTTTTGCAGCTTACAACACTGAAATCGATATTTCTCTAGTAATCGATAGTTCTTAGTGATGATGTTCCTTAGTGATGGTATCTATAACTAGTTTTTATTAACTTCAAAATATTTACAATAAATATATTTAAAATAAAACAATAAATGGTTTCTGATTATAGATTGTCGTGTCTAAAATATAAAAAAAATGTTTTTATGCGTTATAAATAAATTTATGTATGCTTAGTTAAAATGAGGAAGTTTCCAGATTTTATTTCAAACATGCATATTATAGAAAACGGGTTTCCAGCTAAAGTAAACATACAAGCAACAAATATAATTTATAAAACTGATTTTATTTAAAATTTGAAAATTATTTATTTACCTAAATACCTACAAAAGCCAGTTAAATTCTCTTGTTTGAATTACAAAGAGTCTTCGCACAATTCTCTGGATTAAAAAATGTTTGTCTTGTAATATTTTTATTACATGTTTTAAGTATTTATATGTAAAGGTTATTCGCAATATTCGAATTTTTCCTATAAAAGTCCGGGTCATCTTTAAAAACTTTAGGTTTTAAGAGAAATATTCTTCCTGTATTGTGTCTCGATGAGATCGGTGGTCTAATTTATATAACTCAATTACCTATAAATAATATTATTACATTTAGAATTAACTTTGAAAAAAGTCTATTATGGAACCCTTTCTCTTAACTAGATTAATTACAACTCAAAGGAAATATAAAATTATTGATTCTTGGGTCTTGTCAATTGGAATATGCACAATTTATTTTTGTTTTATCAGCTTAGTGGGTTTTTGTACACAATTTTACATGTTAAATCATTAACACAAATATTTAAGTGCCTTTAGTTGTCAGTCACCTCCTGGATTCAGGCACGGCCCTTGGAACGGTATGGGCTGCGCTCTCTGCGTGGACGGTCTCGGGATCTATCCCTTTCCGGCTCCCTATCCCGCTGCCTTTTGGAATCACGGTCTCTCTCACGTGCACGATCGTCTCGGGAAGAGCGCTCACTGCCACGTTTCTCACCGCGGCTTTTCTTCTCACCACGCCGCTCGCGTGGGGAAGAATTCTCTCTCCTGCGTGGCTTTTCGTAGGAAACTGACCTTTCCCGCTTCCGTTGCGAAGAATTCTCGCGATTCCTTTCCCTGCCGTAGTTGGAATTCTCTCGGTTTCTGTCTCTATCGTTGGGAGATTGGTCCCGGGATCTATCGTACGAAGAATTATCTTTCCTTCTGTGTCCGTTTCCATTGGCGGATTGATAGCGATCAGGATCGCGGGAGTTGGGTCCCTCGAGATTGAATTCGTCACTGTCACGGTGTTTCCCTCGGGATTTGTTGTTTCTTTGGACTTCCTCCTGCCGCTGGGTCTTAGCCGGAGGCTCTCCGCTACTGTCTTCGTCGCTGGAGGAATTCGAGGATGAGGCTTCCGAGGACTTCTCGCTGTCATCGCTGCTGCTTGAACTGGAACTGTGTCGTCGTTTCTTCTTTTCTTTTGACTTCTTTTTGGCGGCTTTCTTCTCCTTTTCGCGCTTTTCTTTTTCTTTCTCCCGAAGCCTTTCTTTTTCTCTCTCGCGCTCCTTCTCTCTTTGCTTTTCTCGTTCTCGTTCCCGCTCCCGTTCTCGTTCTCGTTCCCGCTCCCGTTCCCGTTCTCGTTCTCGCTCCCGTTCTCTTTCTCTCTGTTTTTCCACTTCACGTTCCCTTTCTCTTTGTTTCTCTATTTCACGCTCTCTTTCCCGCTGCTTTTCACGCTCTCTTTGCCGATCTTTCTCCTTTTCCCTTTCTCGTTCTAGCTCCCTCTCCGCTCTCACTTTCTCCCGCTCCCTGTCCTCGTCCTTCCTTTTCTTGTCCGCCTTTTTGCTTTTACTCTTCTTGGCCTTATCCTTGCTGCTCTTCTTAGACTTCTTCTTACGCTTGTCCTTGCGCTTCTTTTTCTTCTGCGGTTCGGAGCTGGAATCGGAGCTCGAGGATTCACTGGAAGAGCTGGACTCTTCCTCGGAGGAGCTTTCACTGCTGCTGTCCGAGGAGGAGGATGACGAAGAGGAGCCCGGTAGCTGGGAATTGCCAGTCGGGGCCGAGCCATCTCTGAAAGGATTTCCTGTGCTGTTGACCTCGACGTTGATGGCTGGAACAGCTTTGGGTGCGTTCTTCAGGAACATTCTCAAGTCGTCGGTAAGTCCACCCAATCCAATGGAGGTGAAGAAATTAATGGAGAAGCGGGTGTTCCTTGGGTTGTCTTTCGGGAACAATCCCGCCAGGCTCCCCACCAGAACGTCCTCCTTCAGTTTGTTGTTCAGCTTGCCTAGTCCCATGTATTCAGCCAGCTCCTGGAAGAGGATCTTTATGAAGATTCTGCTCGAGGATGTGGTGTCATCTTCATTTAGCAAAATGCATTCCAGCACATCCCAGCTGATGGCGTCCGTGAAGAGCAAATGGGCGAAGAACTTGCTGACGTTCCGCAGGCGATTGGTGTCCAGTCTGTGGGTGGTATGGTAGGTGTCCTTGAAGATCTCCTCAAACGGAGGCACATAGATCTTGTTGATGTTGCAGAATCGCTGGGCAAGCAGTCCGTAGAACTTCTCGTAGGTGCGCTGCTCGGCACAGCAGTCGAGGAACATGTGGCACAGCTCCACCTCCTGACCGGGCTTCAGTTGCATCTTCATCAGCTTGTGGGCGCACTCCTCGTAGTCCAAGCTGGAGTTAATGGTCAAGTAAATGGTGCGTCGCAGAGCAATCAGATTCGTCTCGGTGTTATCAATGATGTCGCCCGCATCAGTTTTGGTTTGTTTGTCCGCATCCTCCCCGGATTCCCCGTCCGAATCGCTATCCGAACCAGACCCAGAGCCCGAGCCTGATCCACTGTCGTCTTCACTGCCCAAGATCTCGTTGCTCAGGCCCTTGTACTTCTCCTCATTCTCGGCGTAGTTGTCATCAAACTTAAAAACATCTGTGGAAGATAATGGATTAGGCATTAGGGATTGCATATATTATAGTATGACAATTCTTACTTAGTATGTCCTCCGTTTCGGTGGCCTCGTCCAGCATCATGAGGTGAGTGAACTGGTCGTCCTCCTCCACAAGCTCGAGCTCCTCCACGACAGCTGGGTGGTCCTTGAAGCCGTCCTTCCGCACTTGGAACAGCACCTCGATCATGTACTGGACACGCTTGTCCAGCTTACCCTCGTGCAGGATATTCCGCAGCATCTCGAAGATGGCCCCGATGCCTTTGGAAGAGACCTCGGTCAGTTTCATGCCGCACTCCTTGAGGAAGGCAATGGCCACCTCCACGGAATCGTCAGTAGGTGTTTCCACCAGGAGGGTCAGGATTTCGAGGGCCAGAATCTCGTGGGCCACGCGCTGGTTAACCAGATGACCTATGAATCTGGTGGCCGACATGCAGACTAGTTTGTCGTTACGTCGGAAAGCACGGCGAAATTGAATGACCAAACGCTTCAGGAGCAGCTCTCCGATATTGGGGAATTTGGAGTTTATGATGGAGACGAGAGCAGCATAGACATGCGTGAAGGTGGGCGAGGCAGCCTGTGCCTGGATAATGCTCCTGCACAGCAAGCCCCGGCCTCGCACTATGTTCTCCCGCAAAAGCTCCCTGGTTATGATAGCAATGTTGGTCACGTTAACCTTGTTGATGTAACCGTGGATGGACTTTTTCAGAGCCTCCCAGGCGATTCGCTGGTAAGCCGCTGAGGCTTTGTCGGTGATCTCAGCCTGCATCAGGCGCAGTTTCGCCGGCGGGATGTATGCTCCTCCCGTACGAGAAGTCAGTACATCGACAGTCTTTCGCTGCCGCTCTGTAATCTTAGCAGCCGGTTCGGTTACAGTTTCGTTATCTGCATTGGCCACTGGAGGATTACTGACAGACTTCGAGGGAGGCGGGGAACTGGAGCGTTCTCTCTTGCGGTCCCTGGACGCAGAACGGTCCCTCCTGCGTTCTTTGGATCGCCGCCGGTCCCGCGAATCGTCTCGGCGCTTACTATGAGATCTTTCCCGTTTTTGGTGACGCTTCTCGCGCTCCCTCTCGCGTTCCTTATCCCGCTTGTCCCGCTCCTCGTGGCGCCTTTGTCGCTCCAAGCGCCTTCTTTCCAAGGAGCTGGACCTGCGACGTACGGGGCTTACGCTGCGGCTGCGGGACCTGCTGGCTCTGCTCCGCGACCGACGAGGTCGGCGGCTACGCGGAGAACGGCTCCTGCTAGAGGAACGCTGCCGGCGACGCTTGTCATCCTGGCTACGACTGCGCGTAGCATGGTTGTCCTTTGATGGACTCTTTGTGCTGACTTCGGTGGGTGTTTCCTTTTCCTTAACTGGCTCGACTTCCTCGTCGTCTCTCTAAAAAAGAACAAAATGTTACTGTATTGTCATTTCGGTTATGATGAAATTGCACGAGGGAGTTGAACCTACCCCAACATACGGGATTGAGATTTTTCCAACTTACATCGGTTATTTCGCCCTCTTCGATGTGATTGTCCACTGGCGGGGGTTCCACTGTGGCATTTGTGTCTTTAGGGGATTCCCCACTGTTATCATTGCTTGCTTGCTGTGGCGGTTGCTCCTTATCTTCTTCCGCCACATCGTCCAACTTTCCGGCCACCGATTGTGGTTTCGCCTCCTGGTCTTCAGTTGCACCTGCAGATTCCCCGTCGCCATTGCCAGGTGATTCAGCTTTGACAGTTTCCCCTGTAGTTTCTGCTTCATTTACTTCTGCTGGCACTGCAGTTGCGGCTGCTACTGTTTCTTCTTCTTCTTGCCGCTTTTCCACGCCAGCAGTATGGGAAATTGGTTCCGCCTCTGCCGCGGCGACGGCCTCACGAATTTTATCCTTCTCTACGGATTTCTCCTTTTCCACGGCTGCTTCACTTTCTTCTAAATCCTTCTTCGCATCCTTAGTATTAGGATTTTCGGATTCCTGCGGCCTTGCGGCGGGTGCTTCCTCTTCCCGCTCGCTACTCCTGCGACTCGAGTTTTCGGACGAGGATGAACTGGAGGAGCTGGAGCTTCCGCTTCCACTAGAGCTGCTGCTCGAATCGCTCTCGTTATCGCTGTCCCCCATTTTTTATCAAAGCGGAAAATAAAGGGAGAAAAACAACGATCAAAATTCGGATAGCAAAAAAAAGCAAACGCGGCGACTAGCAGTGTTGGGAAAGGTTAGATTTTTTCTATAGATGTCAAAACTAGCACTGGGTACTATCGACAGAAGTTCATCGAAAGTCAAGTTGAAAACGAATCGTTTGGCGCAAAAATCTTCGTTTTTAAATTATATGTTGTTTAAAAGGGAATCAACATGGACGAAAAATATAATTTTTTAAACTATGCCATCGTTAATCTTACATAAATGTATGTCAATCAGTCATTGGCGAATTAACTTAATTGGGAGTCATTTTTTTTTCGAAGAAATAAACTTCAATGCAATCGGTAATCTTACACGAATGTATGTACATATGTCAATCAGTCATTGGCGACGAAATAATCTTTTTTAACTTCCATTTGCCAAAAACACCTGAATTTATTTTCCTGCGGCTGGACGATTCCGACGAAGAGGTCGCTCGAGTTCTAGAGGATCTCAGTCTTTTGAGCTGGAGCTGGATTGACCGCTTGGACTGCAGCTTCTGCTCGAATCGCTGTCCCCCATTTTTATTAAGGGGGAATATAAAGGGAGAAGAGCAACGATCAGAATTCTTGTAGCAAAAAAAAGAAAACGCGGCTGGAAAAGGTTAGATTTATTCTACAGATGTCAAAAATAATATTGGGTTCTGTCCAATGGAAGTTCTTCGGAAGTCAAGTTGAAAACGAATCGTTTGCTGAAAAAATTTTCGTTTCCAAATTATATGTTGCTTAAACGGGAATCAACATGGCAAAACATATAATTTTTAAGCTATGGGGGTTTGGGGAATTACCTTATCCGGATATAAGCATTATTAATTTGGCAAAGAATCACCAAATTTATTTTCCTGCGACTGGACGATCCCGAAGGCGAGGAACTCGAATTGGAGCTGAATTGACCGCTTGCACTGGAGCTGCTGCTCGAATCGCTCTCATAATCGCTGTCGGTCATTGTCAATGAAACGTGAAATAAACGAAAAAATCACTGAGTTAAATTCCGGGGAGAAAAAAAGGAAACGCGCAGACTGGTTGGAAACGGTTTGATTTGTCAAAACGAATGTCAAAGGGCTAATTGGGACCTATCGATTGGAACTTATCGATAGTTGAGTTGGGTATATCGGGAAAATATGAATCAGCGGATTTATATTTTTTATTCCCACATGCCCCTAAAGGTCGGCAATCTTCTTCTTTTGGCGCCAAATTCGAATTTTCTCAAAAAGTTGTTATACATTTAGTAATATTGGGAAAGACTACTTCCTAATCGTCCCTAATTTATGTACAGCTGTCATTGACGAATTACCTATTTGCTGGAAAATACGTTTGGCATTAAAATAGGTTTTCACAATCACTTGCAACAAAACAGCTAAATTTATTTTAGTTTACAAATTGTTTATCCATAGTAAATACTTTAAAAATAAGCTTTAATCACGAAGGGTTAAACTAGAAAAAAGGGCGAACATAAAGTTAGCAGAATTCTTCCATTCTGGGGATTATTTTGTAGTCGATTGCCCCAAAAAGTGTTTTGCTAACTTGATGGACGTAAAATAAGGGGACTCCGGGTGGAAACCACTCTAGGCCTTGGGGGTCGGCTTGGGTGGCACAGTTTCTGGTATCGAAGGCGACACATCGTCATCGCTGGATGAGGACGAGGATGAGGAGCTGGAGTCGTCGGCCTTGGTTCGCTTTTCGGGAATCGTGTACGGGAACTTCTGTGATTTCTCCTCCGCCGCCTGTTTCAGACGTAGCAGGGCGGTTCTGTTAATGTTCTCCAGCGAAACATCTTTCACGGCATTGGCGAGGACGTCCAGAGCCTTGTCTGTGTTGCCCTTGTTCGTCTGGATGTCGATGAGGCAGGAGTAGGCATTTCCAATGGCACCCTCCGATATCTTGCTATCCCTCAGCTGGGAAATTACCACAGAAGCCAGCTTCTCGTCCTGCTGTTCCCTGGCGGTTTGCAAAACGCGCTGGAACATGAGACGTGGGGCATTGGATAGATGCTTGTCCCAGATTTGCTTAGAGGCGGCTTCCTGACCACTGGAAATGAGGTGCATCCACAAAACGTTCATGGGTCCCAGCTGGTTGTGAGCGGCAAACTTCTCGGCCAGCGATTGGTCTGTGGAGAGGAGTGGTTAGTTGGAATGCTCTTTTTGGCAAATAGGTATACCTACACTGTGGCACCAGTTCGGGATGCTTGTCCAGAATGCCCACTGCTCCACCTCGGGGGAACTTCTCCGCCTGCTTGGCCGCCTCTTCCGGGGTCTTCGCCGCCTCGATGTCCGTGGAAAGCTGTTTCAGGAACTGCTCAGCCTTGCCGGCCACAATGTTGGCGTGGCAGAAACGGTTGTCGAAGGAAACCAGACGCTTCTGCTCCTCGGTTAGTTGCTGGCCAATTTTATTCAGCGTTTCCAGGTCACCGGCGGCGGCAATTTTGTTCAGATAGAACTTGAAGATCTTTGGCTGGGGGTGGAGCTTCTCGGAGAGCAGTTCCTCCACGTATTTGGTAGCCTCTGTCAGGCGGTCGGCCCGAACCAGGAGCTCAATCAGCCGGGAGGTGTCCAAGACTCCGACCTTGTCGCCACCCTGGAAGCTTTGCTTGTGGGCGATGGCTGCGTCGGGGTCGTTGGCCAAGAGGGCCTTTCGGAAGCCAGAAGTATGGGAAACTGGTTTGGGGGTGGGTGCGGGTGCAGGCTCTGCCTTCTTTTGGGGTTTCTCTTTGGGAGCTTCTTTGTCCTTGACTGCTTCGGCTTTAGTCTGTTCTGATTTGGTTTGTTCCTTCGCCTTTGCTTTTCTGGCACGGGATTCCTTCTGGGTCTCCGGCACAACAAAAGGCACTTCGATGTTCTTCCTCCTGAGCAGCTCGGCCAGCTTCAAGAGGAAAGCGTCGTTGGGGGTCACCGCCTCCTCCTGCATTTTGGTCCACAAGCCCAGTGCTTTCTCGGCCTCGTCGGCCTTGTCGTAGCTCAACAGCAACGTGAAGTAGATCTTGTTTCTGTCGATGTGGCCCAGGTCCTTGGTGGCTTCAATGAGTCCCTCCAGGGGCTGGAGCAACCCCTCGTTCTTGTACCGGTCGCAGGCACTGTTGATTCTTTGCGGGCGAGTTCGCAGCCCAGGGGTCTCAAGGATCTTCCTGGCCTGCCTGACGCGACCACATTCCACGAACGAGAACACCAGGTCGTACAAGCTGTTCACTTCGCCGTGAATGGAGGTGCTAAGATCGGTCAGTTTCTGGAGATTCGCGGCGTCCTCCTTCTGGATCAGCCGGCAGGCCAGCTCGTTCTTCCAGGGAGTGGACTTGTGCTTCTGGCAGATCTCCTCGAAAGCCTGAATGGCCTTCGGCACATCGTCCTTCACCAAATGCACCTTAATCAGCGGCCCCAGGAGCACATTGGTGGGCACAATGTAGTTGGCGGCCACCAAGGCATCGAATAGCTTGGTCAGCCTCTCTGCCTGCCCAGCTTCCGCAAGGGAGTTCAGGGTGCGCCACGCGGTGGTCACGTAGTTGAAGCTTCCTTCAGACTCGCTCACTGGGGCATCCTTTTTGTTCTCCTCAAGGACCTTGAAGGCTGCATCATCGCGTTCCTCCTGCAACAAGAGATCCGCCAGACGAACGGCCTTTAGGTTGTCCAACTTGAAGCTGGCGTCCTTGGCCTTCAGCTGGGCGTAGGTCTCCAGGGCCTCGGAGCTGCGTTTGTGGTGCGTGTAGAGGTCGATGAGCTGGGCGTAGATCCCCACAGGAATCTGGAACTTCTCCGACTCGAGTTTCGCAATCACCTGGAGGGTCTTCTCGATGTTCTGGGAGCGGAAGCAGGCGTTCAGCAGCTGGCGTTTGATGTTGTTGGCGTTGTCTCCCTTGGCCTCCACATTGGCAATAAAGCGTTCCAGTTCTAGGAAGGTGAGAAAAGGATAGATAGGAATAATAGTCCCCAAAGTTAGCCTCTAGAACTCACCATCGATGGAGAGCGAGTCCAGGCTCCGCTTCGCACTGTTCGGCAAAGGAACAGGCATTAGTTCCCCGGAGCTCAGCTTGCCGAGCAGTTCGGACACCCTGGGTGTCAGTTCTCCGCCAAGTTGCTCCGATATCTGAGTGGCCTTCTGGCTGCTGATGGACAAGCCCTGCTTCACCAATCCCTTGAGGATTTTCTCCAGCGTGGCCACGCGCTCCCTTCGGAAGTAGGTAGCTGCTTCCTGGACGATGGAGCCCACCACATCGTGCGTAGCTTTCTCCGAAACAGCAGCCACTGCCTCGCCTCCCGCTTCTCCGGCTTCCGCTTCCTCCTCCTTGCCTTGGCGGAGCTGCAGTCCTTCGTGGACTTGTCGCACGCAGCGGATGAAGGAGCTGTAGTCGTTGGTGTGGCTGAGGGCCAGGATCAGCGGTTGTTTGAAGAGGAACGGCAAATAGTAGGCTCGGTTCTGTTCCATTATCTTGGCTGCCTCAGATATGTTGTGAGTCGCCAAGGCGGCATAAACTGCAGAGGTGACGGCCGTGGAGTTTGGCACGCCAGCATCCCTCAAAGCGGTGACTACGCGCTCCCAGTTCTTCTCCTTCAGGTTCGGAATCACGTAATCCCTGATGGTTTCGGAGTTGGGGTACACGGAGAACTCCTGCTGCATGCGACGCACGATGTCTAGCACCTGGTTGGACTCCACAGAGCAGATCAGGGGCCAGAAGTAGTGCTGCCTGATGGGCAGGCCGGCGTTCTTCATTTCCTGGAGCAGGGGCAGGGCATTGTTGACAACTCCGTTGGTCAGCCCCGCTTCAGTGGCGATGGTCAGGGCCTTGGGGTTGAGCCCCTCTGCCTGGAGAGCGTTGCAGATGGAAAGGATCTTCTCCACCGGCCGGTTAGCCTTAACCATTTGGCGAATGAAGAATGCACCCACGTCTATGGGCTCTCCGTTAACGCGGTTGGTCCGAGGCATCACGCGCAGCAGCTTCAGACCCACATCCTCCTGGCCCTTGTTGACCAGGCGCAGGATCACGTTCACGGCGTCCTGATTGAAGCCCGGCGAGATTCGCAGCTTGGTCAGTAACTCGTCCACACTATCTCCATTGCCATGGATGGTCAGGGTGTAGATGATGTCCAGCAGATCCTTGTCGAGCAGGATTATTTCCTTCTGTTCGCACTCGGCCAGGGTTTCCTTGATCGCCTCCAGGTCGCCGTGCCTGGCAAAGGCACACAACAAGGTGGTGTAGGTGTCCGCACTGGGCTCCAGTCCAGCCTGCTTCATCACCCCGAGGATGCCCTTGGCCGACTCCAGATCGTTGGCCTGCAAAGGAAAGGGTTAGGGAATCTGGGCCTCAAAGACCGCACCTGTTAAACCCACCTGCGAGTGTCCCAGGATCAGCGAGTTGAAGACGTTCTCGTTGACCGGCAGGCTCTTGGCGCGCATGAACTCCAGGATTCTGGTTGCCCCATCGATGTCTCCGAGCTGGCAGTACCGAGCAATCAGACGCTGATAGGTGACCCGGTTCGGCTCGATGCCCTTGGCCTCAATCTCCGCCAGAAACTCTGTGGGAGCGAAGCCGTGCTCGTTCTCCAGATAAACCCGCAGCAGGGCATTGTAGTGCGAGATGTCCATGGGCACGTTCAGGGCGTTCAGGGTCTTCCAGATCTCTTGGACCAGCGCCGTCCTGACTTCGGGCAGCTCCTCAGGCACCAGGTTGCCGCAGCAGCGGATCACCATCAGGGACTGTGAGCTGGTGGCGGTTCTGTGTGTGCGAATCTCGTCGAGAACCTCCTCCAGATCGCGCCGCGAGATGCGTCCCACCCGGCGAACATCCTGGTCCAGGCGGCGGATCTGCTTGTCCAGGCTCAGCTCGGCCTTGGCGGCGGCATTGGTGGCAAAGCCGCTGGAAGAGAAGGGCGTTATTATAAATAAGTCTTTAGAGAATCTCCGAGAAAATGTGATTTTGGGTTCTGCTGCCCCCGCTGAGGTTATGTAAAAACTCGGAGCACCATGTTACCAAACTGAATTCAATTATTGAGATATACAGCTCCTGGTCCAGGTGCCGATCCCTGGGGAACACCTATCCCCTCCCTCTATTTACATAAATATACACGTGCATTGCGTAATGCCGGCTCGGTGGGTTTTCTACTCACTTCTGGAAGTGGCCGCACATGCAGGGCGCATTGTTCAGCAGGTTGTTGGATTCGCTCTCCCGCACCGAGTTCACGACCACGTTGCGGGTGAAGCCGGCGAAGTAGCGCAGCAGCTTGCCAGTCCTCAGGATGGATGCCATTCTCGCGTTGTTCGATTTTAATTAATAAATTCAATTTATTATTGAATTCCGATTCGCAGAGCTGGGTTCCGAGCCGTATTGCCAGATAGCACCTCAGGAGTGTTGCCAGAAAGTCCAATTCAGACACGATCCCGCTAAAGCAGGTCCTAAAAAGCTGAATGTTGTGAAACTTATGGTTTGTGTCTTTAATAAAATATTGAAGTCTGAATTTCGAGTTCAAAAATTAAAAATATTGGCGGACAAGAACTTTTTTGATGAGGTTTATTCAAAAATATTAAAAATTTGTCCATCTAGACATAAATTTAAATTAAGACATTTTATAAAAAAAAACTTAAAGATTAATTTGGTTTAAAACTTTTTTTATGGATTATTTAAAATTTAATGTTAGCAAACTTTAAAATAAATGTTTTTTCCCTAAATTTTAATATTTTTATCAGAACATTTAAAATTAAAATAACAATATTCGAAGAGTCACTTCCACCTGATTAAGAGAAACTGCAGTCTGCGTCCTCTCTTTTTTGCCAACTCATTCCGCCTTTGTTGTTGCTGCTGCCCGCCATTCCATCACTTTTTGCAACGTTCGTCGGCGTCGCAGCCGACGTCGACGTCTCAACTTTCTTTTGTGGCTTTCTTTCGCTGCGAATTTAAAATTGCATTTCATTTGCAAAAGTTCCGTTGCACATGGCGGATCGCGGTTCGCGCTCTTTCTTCTCGGTTTTTGGCGAATGTCTGTGTGTGCGTTACACTGCAACTCGTGGAATTCATCGGGAAATGCGGTTCGCAAATGAATAATTTGCATTTGGCAGGTGCAAGCCGCAGTGCGAATAAATATTTAAGACCTTGTCATCATGGTAAGCAGACTGAGGCCCAAAACGATTCGATTAAAGACTACAAAGGGGAAAATAATTTTCGAAAATACATATACACGTACATACGAGTATGTAGTTTAAATCTTAAGTATTTCGTGTGGGGAGAGAAAGAGCGGCATGGAGAGCCGCGAAGCCGACGGGAGTGCACTCTGAAATTGCAATACACACAAACAAATTGCCACGCAAAAAGCGGCCGGCTTGCCCCCTCGTCCCGTTAGCGGGCCCCCTAACCCCCAAACGGGCCCAACATCTCTTCATCTGCATGTGTGTGTGCATTGGATGCACTTGGTGCGATTCATTTGCTTTTTATTGCCATTTCTGCCCCGTCTCTCGATTTTAATTTTATTTTTTTCCCGTTTTCGTGTGGGGGCTTTTGGGAGAAGGTGACAACCCTGCCGGCCAAATGCGTTGGAAAAAAGTTCTCTACCCTTCTGCCAGTGTGCAGCGCGACTTTGAAATGAGCAGCGGCGAAGTGCAACAGCAGCAAAAAATAGCAATAAATTAAACAAAAAACTACATAAATATTTGTACCTCCAAGCTGATTAAAGTCAAGAAGTGTGAGTGCTCAAAAATGCAAAAATATAAAACAGTAACCGGCCCTAGTGATGAACTTGAAAAATTTTAAAACTTTAAAACTGTGCTCGAGGAACAAGGACTAAGAAATGTTTGTGAAAATTAAAAGATAAAAAGTTTTGAATTATTTATGGACCTGATCTAACCGCAAAACCCCATTTGTGTATTAAAAAACTATCAAAAATTGAACCAAAACTCAGTATTTAAAACTCTGCAAGTGTGATTAAGTAAGAAAACATCCATTAAAGGCAATTAAAACGCATTTTCTCTGCAATTGACGATGACCTACGACAAAGGAAATGAAGTCATACCCACACATAGGCGCCGCTCTCTCACGCACACTAGCACGCTCTGCAACCCACCAAGAAGCAAAGTGCAGGGCAACAGCAACAACAGGCCCTACAAACAACAACAACAATAACCTGAAAATTGCACTGCGCATGCACATGAACACAGAACACTCACACACTGACAAAAAAAAAGCACACACACACACCGAGCCGATCTTGTGGCTGTGTTGGTGCGCTTTTGTTCGCTCGGGGAAGAAGCAGCAGCTGCGAGAAACACTAAAAAATAATTCAAATTGGAAAATCACTTTATAAGCAATTTGGGAAATAATTGGACGTTTTAAAAGCCAGGATGTGAGTGGCCTGACGCTTATGGTATCTGCATTTTCCCATTTCCCTACCCGATTTCATTGCCTTTTTTGTTTTTAATTTTTGCGGAAAACGCGTCATGCCAACGGCAGTTGAATGCACTCCGGCCTTTGCCTCAGATTGCTTCCCTTCAGCTGATAAAGGGGGGCGGATTAATCGGGGTTTTCAATTAAATATAATACATAAGAAGATGAGCTCTTCACTCTGATCTTAAACGGAGCTTACTGGTTCCAAAAAAATGAGCTAGTTCCACGAAAATAGGTTCCATATCAAGTAGTAGAGTTGCCTATTCTCATTTTGAGTCATAGTCCTACAATAGATTCATATTCCAAAAAAACAGAAAGCTTTTTTATTTAAATATTAATAAGGAAAGAACTATTTCTTGATTATATTAATAATTAATTTACAAACCCTCCATACAAGCCAGAAATCCACTTCCATTATTGCTCTTGAAATTCATTTTTTAGTGTTTTTTTCCCCCATTTTTTGTATTAAAAAGAAAAGGTAGGATAGAACGCTGGGAAGTGGGAGCTGGGTGGCAGTGCCAAAGGACAATGGTTCAAGTGCAAAGAGGATGCCAAGCCGCATGCAACAATGCTAACAACAAGGACCGAACGAAGCGCCGAAGGACAAGACATGCATTCATTCCTTTTTGTCCGTGGTGGGTTTCCCTATTGCGTATACGCCGTGTGGTGAGAACTAGACTGAGAGGGAGAGCGGCCAGACAGAGAGAGGAGCTATTTATAGAAGGGGCTCCAAACCGAGCTCAGCCTTGATTCCGCCCTTGAACTAACATTGCTGGGAACTATTCCTGCATCTCCTGGATCCCAGCTCCCAGCAGGAGTCCAGCAGCCGTCGCAGCTGGAAACCAGTTAGGGGATACTCATCTTTCAGGGAGCTGGAGGGAGGAGAGGCTTCGTCGCATATGTCGCCAGTCAAGCGTTGATTTTGTTTGCGGTTCGCTTTTTCGCACTGCCCCATGTCCTTGCTGGGTGAACTCAGCAGGCTTTGACATTGATTTTGTGCATCCTGGCGCTGTGTGAGTGGGCTTCCAATTGCCAAAGCGACTCCCACTCAGCTGTCACAGTAGCTGGTGTCATGGATGTTTGTATATTTATGGATTGGATGGCTGATTCCATTGTTTTCATCGAAAATACCCAACATCGGATTCAATTCAAATGAGTTTACTGCAACTGGAGAGTGGGCCTAACCTTGGGCGATTATGAGGAATCATCTAGCTTGTTTTCGTAATTGGAGTAGTTGGGAATTGTTTACTAAACAACTGCGATATGATATCTAGTGGCGATTATGATGCAATGACTCTCGCTATGGATAGTTAAGATCGAAATAATAGTTTTCCAAAAGTTTAAGCCTAAATAGAAGTAGAGAATAGATAGAGAGAAAAGCAATTGAAACTTGAGCAAACAAAAGGCAGCGTAAAATGTTTGCAAATTGAATTTCCAGTAAATATGGGCAAGATACAGATACAGATGCACTTTCGGATAGAAGTCTCTCACCGGTGTGGGCTGCCCGCTGTCTGGGTGTGTGTGTGTGAGTCTTTGTATCTATCGGATGCAGTTTAGCGCTTTAAAAGGAATTCTGTACTTTATGCATGCGATGCGTCGTCTATATAAAGTTGTGCCTCAGTTTCTGCACCTCTCGCTATCTCTTTTTTTTTGTGTCCCCTGCTCCCACCCGCCCCTCCTCCCCTCCTACCCCCTTCTATGACTGTACTCTGATGGCAGCCATGGAAACGACGTCATCGCATCATCGTCGTGCGTCGAGATGCCGAACCTAGCCAGCAATGGCGGCCTCTCCGTCGCCCATTCCCGCCCCCTCCTCCGTCCTCGGCCTGTCGCCAGGAGGAAGCAAACTGCAAAAGTATAAAGAAGGCAGAGAGTACTCGGCGAAAAAAAATTCATACAAAAACTAGCCGCAACAACAATGCCGCAACAGTACTCCCCCTCGCGCTCGCTTATCTCGCACTGAGTCAAGTCCATGTACTTGGCTCTTTTTTGTGTATCTATAGAATGCGTTCTCTTGCTCTTGCCAGCTGCATCTGCAGAACTATGATGGCGGGACGATGGGGTGGGGGAGGGGGCTTGTGGCATGTGTGCTCCCCAGTGCTAAGCAGCTTAGGCCACAATTAAAGCCTCCTTTTTCTAGTCTTTGGCCAAGTCCTTCAATTAGAGGAGGAATCTCTATGGGATTCGAGGGGATTATGGGATGCCATTTCAATGAATTACAGAAAATTATGAAATTATTGAAAAGGGGATCTCTTAATAGACTGGAATAGTTGAGACTTGGTTCCAAAGTTAATCGTATAAGAGGTTTATTAAGTATACGCAGTGTTGGATGCACCTGCTTTAAACCTACCACTTAACCCTTGACCTCCTCAAATAAAGACCAGTTTCTGGCCAAGACAACCCCTTGGGAACTAACGTTTCTGCCAAGTTCAGTGCGCATGTCCCGGAGGATCACCCCAAGAAAGACTTGTCCCATAACTGTACCTGAGCCGACGTATTCAGAGCATGACCGTCAAACCGAGGGGGAATCCTCGCCAGAAGGCAGGGTAAGAAAAAATAGAGGGACCACCACCACAGGCATGAAGATTGCATTCCACTCGTGTGGCACAAAGGGCTGGCTTTGTCTGCACTGAAATTGCAACATTTTTCCTTACGTACGTACTGCTTCTGACGTTCAAATGCATCGTAATGAATGTCATCCGTTTCACTTTGAATTATGTCATCCACTGTGACACACATTTCCAGACACAAGCAGCTTATCCACGCCACAGAGGCATACCAATACAAACCAACTGTTACTCATTAGGAAAATATAGAAAACATAGCTATTATCCGAAATAATACACCCTTGTAGTCCCCGAGGCTTTTGGTTCTTTGAGGTTCCTTGTTGCAAACTAACATAATAGCATTTCCATAAGAACTCGGAATAGAAAACAGCTTATTTTCAGGCTATTTCTTAATTGTGTAATTCGAGA